TGTCGGGGTCTAGTTATAGATTTCCATTATCATCGCACAGCCCTTTCGATAAAATATTGTAGCTTCTCTTTGTTGTGAGTTCCTTTGTCTTCTTATGCATATTGTGATAGTCGTATAGCTTTTCGCACTGTTCGATGTCTTCGCATCTCTCCGAGAACCATTTCTCTTTAGTTTTTCTTATCTCAACTCTTATTCGTCTATGGGTTTTTACGGTATTTGGCAGTATCTTTAGTTTTATATATCCGTCTCTCTTCCATCATGTCAAGGATTTCTCCGGTCATCCAGTCTTTTTTTTTCTTATCAAGTAGTAAAAACTTAGTGCTTGAAGTCCTAATCTCTTCTTTAATTTCACTCCACTTTTCCAGCGGTTCATTGTTATTTTTAAGGATTTTTGATATTTCGGTATTTAAATTCTCCTGCATCTGTTGTTTAATATAATTGTTGGAAAGCTTCCTAATATCTAGCGTTTCGGGCCTGTTCCTTAGATTTGGCTTTTTTAACTTTACTTCAAACTTACATACCACCGGATTGTGGTCTGATGCTACGTCCGCACCCGGGTAAGTTTTTACGGCTTTGATGGCTGTTTTGGTTGTTTACCCAAAATTTCCGTATGGTAAGATGCATTATCTAAAACTATAACTGATGTTTCACTCAGACTAGGTAACAGTTTTCTCCACAAGCCATTTAACAAACATATCTGCATTCATGTTTTCATGGTAATTAGTAGATTTTGAGTTTGAAGAAAAAATCAAATCTTCTTTCCCTCCTGCGTGAAGAATGAACTGTCTTTTGCCTTCGCTATCTGTGCGTTTTATTGATTTTATGCTGTCGCCTTGCCAAATTCTTTTAATTCCACCCTTTGCAAATATCCAGGTCCCATATAAGTATACCTACGAATGTTTGCATTTTCAGATTTAAGTCCAGTATATTCTCTCAGAAGAACAAAAGTTTAAAAACAATTGAAGACAAATACAGGAAAAAGAAAACTAATCATGCTTAAAGCTGAGAACAATGAAGAAAGAGATCTAGGAGAAATAGTAAAAATCACAGAAAGATATTACACAGACCTATACAGCTCTAAAAATGAGCCACCACTATCATCTAAACAGAATCTCTCGAGGAAAATACAAAATGTTGGCTCGGAGGTATTACCAGAAATAACTGAAGATGAAATCGAAAAATCCATAAACGACATGAAAAGAAATAAAGCGGCCGGTGAGGACAAAATACTGGCGGAGCTGCTAAAAGAAGGAGGAGACACGATAAAAAAAATGCTAAAAATACTGTTCAACAAATGTCTGTTTGAAGGTAAAATACCTAAACAATGGAGAAATGCCAACACAATCTTAATACATAAGAAAGGAGACCGAACAGACCTAAACAACTACCGTCCTATTTCCCTTTTGTCACAACTATATAAAACCTTCACAAGAATAATAAACAACCGACTAACCTATAAACTTGATAACTACCAACCAGTGGAACAGGCCGGATTCAGGAAAGGATACAGCACAATCGACCATCTACATGCGCTTAAAATCTTAATTGAGAAAACCAATGAATACAACCTTCCACTGTACTTAGAATGTTCGTAGATTATGAAAAGGCTTTCGACAGCATTGAACACTGGGCGGTTGAAGAAGCTCTGGTCAATAGTAGAATAGATTCAAGATACCGACAATTGATACATGATATTTTACCAAAACGCAACCATAACCGTAATTCTGGACGACAAATTAATAACGGATAATATAAAAGTTAAACGAGGAGTCCGACAAGGCGATATAATTTCACCTAAACTGTTTACCTTGACCCTCGAAGACATAATAAAATCAACAGATTTGAAAACAGAGGAATATGTATTAACGGAAATTACCTAAATCACCTTAGATATGCGGATGGTATACTCCTGATCTCCTCGGAACGACAAGAACTGGAATTAATGCTGAATGAACTTCATGAAAAATCACTGCAAAAAGGCCTAAAAATTAACTTCAAACAAAACAAAAGTAATGACAAACACGGAAGACCAAGAGACAATAAAAATAAAAACAGAAAAAATAGAACAGGTAAATGAGTATATCTATCTAGGACAAGCAATCAGAGCTAACAGAGAAAATCAAACAGCCGAAATATCGAGACGAGTAAGAATGGGATGGGCAGCGTTCGGCAAACTTTCTTACGTTTTAAAAAATCAAACAATCCCTCTATACTTACGAAGCAAGGTATATAACTCCTGCATAATACCGGTGCTCACCTACGGAGCACAGACATGGACATTTACACAGGCCAATTTGGATAGGATAAGGAAGGCACAAAGAGCGATGGAGAGACAAATGTTGGGTGTATCACTTAGAGATAGAAAACGTAACCAGTGGATCAGAACCAGAACAAAGACAGTAGACGCGATAGAACAAGCAGCAAAACTGAAATGGAAATGGGCTGGACACAATGAACGTCTCCAAGACGGACGATGGAACAATACCATCGGAAAGTGGCGTCCATACAATGCAAAGAGATCAAGAGGCAGACCACAGATGAGGTGGAAAGATGACATCAGGAAACAAGGAAGTCCCACATGGCAGAGAACAGCTCAAGATAGGGAAAGATGGAGAGAACTGGGGGAGACCTATATCCAACAATGGAAGGATAGAGAATAGGTTCAAAAAAAAAATTCTCTCAAAAATTTATTCCTCTCCATTTATTCTAATCCCACTTTGAAAGGCGCACACTGGTAGGAATTTATGCTGAACCTTCTCTAGAAGACAATAATGTATTACGAAATAAGGAGACCATATGACTGAACAGTATTCCAGGATAGACCTGGCCAAAGAACAATAGAGCATTCTTGTGGCTGCAGTGGAAAAAAAGGTAGAATTTCTAGTGATAAAGCCCATCATCCTTTGACCCCCTAATTGATATAGAACTAACATGATCGGCAAAAGTTAATTTCTCATCGAAAATTACACCCAGATATGTTACTCTGTAGATGTGTATTTTAGTGGCTAGTTATCAATGAAGTACCTTGACTGAAACCTAGTAGTTTTCCTAGAGAAATTCATAACATTGCTTTTGTTGATATTCAAATATAGCTTTGGCACCGCTCTGACAAACGAAGTCCTCCTGAAGTAGTTTCGGAAATACTTTCAACGGTTGTCCAACATTGGAGATCATCAGCAAATTTCGCACAGCAGTTATACAAAAAACATGTAACTATATCATTCACTAAAATATTAAATAGTAGAGGAGAAATATGGCCTTCCTCCAGATGTGACCTCAATTTCCTCAAAAAAATAACAATCTATTGTAACTCTTGAGTCTTCTTCATAATCATCATCGGACACTTTATCTGAGGATATTGTTAAGAGGTCTTTAAAAACCTACATGTCTAAAGTAGTTAGCTATACTTTTTTTTTGTGAAATTGTTTCCCATGCTTTTTTTTCAAGATGGCAAGAATCATAAAGCTTTACTTGTCATTACTTTCAAGGTTTTGTATTTAGTCTTCTTCTGTTCTGTAATGTGATTTTAAATATTTTTATTACAACCTTGATTCAAAGTTTGCAGTACAGATTTGGTCGTAAAATCATAGGTTAATGCATTTCAGATTAGTGTAATTTTTCTTTTTGCTTCTTGGTTTCTTAAATTTGCTAATAACTAAGAGCTTCCTTTTACAGAATCTTGTTATATTTACTGCAAGTATAATCGTTAATCTCTTTTTGGACATTTTTCCTCCAGAATTATTTTCTCTTTTGAACTTTACAGTCCTGTCTGTTGTCATATTGTAAAAAAGACTGGTTTTGTCTTCGTTAAAAATGTCATCTGGTCTTTAGGCTTCGTATGATATTGGAAATTTTTGCGTGATCGACTCTCCTACAGCACTTTTACCAACACTGGCAGGTTCACCACTCACTTTCTCAAGACAGTAGAGGTAATGGATTTTAACAAGAGCCATGAGTCATGCCGATTCGGTACACAAGTTTACCTGTTATTTTCAAGTTGTCATAGCTCTTGTCAAAATCCATTACTTCTACCGTGCTGGGCTCGGAAATGTTGAATCAAACAAATCAAGGAAATTATTAACTCTGTATTTGAAATAATACAAAAAACTTGAGAAAATAATCTGAGAGGATACGTTCGATAGAAGATGGAACTTAAAGTCTATCCGTCTATTCGGTAACTCTTGAAGAAAAAATCTTGAATCCTTGAAACTTGTTGACTCCAAATTCGGTTGTGTTCTTCCTTGCACCAAGAAGTCTATGTATAAAGTTTCCAGAAGATTTACCGCATGGATGGATCAACAGCGACACTATTTTAAGAGGAATTTTCTTCTTTTAGTTCCATATTTTATCGAACGATTTAAACTATTATAGCTATAGCGATATTTTGACTGCCGCATTAAATAGCTCCAGTTTATTGCGTCCAAAGCATTCCCACAGTTTCTGAAGCAAAGATATTCGTCTTCCCATGTTTCGCCTTTCTCGAAGAATGAATTCACAAAATGATTCTCAAACTATTAGCAAATAAAATAATGTCCAAGCTTTAGTAAAAGTCATTCTTTTGAACACTAGGTAGTATACTAGGTTTAGGCACCTTGCATCAGCAATAAAACGGTCTTGCGTATATCTAACCACTATAACTACATCGTTTGCATAGTCCGTAGCACAAAATTCTTCTCTTTTCAGCTAAGCGAGTTATACCTTAACATGTTATGAAGTCCAGGGTGGTGAAACATGTCATACCGTAAGTACCTATATACACTGGAACTTATAAAAAAGTTTAGTTTGCATATTTTTTTATAATATCGATCAAGTAAAGGTTTGCTCAGGTTATACATCTACCAAAAATTTAATAACTTCTTGTGATGACACGTATCAACAAGTTTTCCTAACAGGAATGTAACAATTTTGAGTATTATCACTTTTTATTTCTAAGGTGGACTCATTCTTAAATTGATCATAGCAACTGTCTGTATGTATTTAATAAAAGCGCGTTTTTGCAGTCATATAAGTATACTGGATGAAAAACTACTTCCATACTCACAGTCAACCCCTCGTGCTAGTTTTGGACAGAAGCTTCTCAGTTGTGAAGGTCTTCTGAATTTATCAAATGTATCCAGTTACAATCTGTCACCCACAAAGCAAGCCAAAGAAATTAGTATAGGTAAATAGTGTCATAAGTGTTTTTTAGTGAAGTAAGTAGAGTATTCCATTGACAAAAAATATGCCAAGAGGTTGATGTTCAACATTAGTTTGTCGCCTGTGATGCTATTTTGTATTGAAGTAGGTCTTCTTTTTTGTTTATGTTTTTTTTTTTTTACATTATAATGATTTTAAGAAGAGAATGCGCCTCGGATTAGGTCTCGGGCGAATTATTTTTTTTCAAAAAGTTTTAGCGTTTTACTTTCATCGTTTTGGAATAAAAAAAATATCACACCTTTAGCAACAATAGAGCTTATCCGTTTTATTTATACAAAATTTATTATTCAAAACTTTTGTAAAAAATGTGGCCACATGTGGCCAAAAATTATATTTTTTATAAAGACAAGTTCCTCAAGCTTAATTTAAATAGAAAAATACATATTTTGCCTCTTCAAAGTCTAATAAACACGTAATATCCAACAATTTGATCTGAACAGACTATGAAGTTGTCCCTGACATCGTCCTTTATAACACAGAGTAGATTTCAAAAATTCGCGAATTGGTGCATGAAATCGACTTTTTTTTGCTTTAGCTTCCTGGAAAAAGGAAGAATGAGCAATAGCGAAGATTAACTAGGATTATTGGTGCGTTTGAAGGAAGAACTTAAATAAAATGATGAAAAAATGGAGAATAAAGTGCTTTTAACTATTTAGATAGACTCGGAACCTTAGACAAGGAAAGAGAGGGGACGCGTAATCGTATGGAACTGACTGAATGCCTAAATGTAATAAAAATAAAAAAAATAAAAAATAAAATAAAAACGTTTTATTGGCCTAATAATATTTACATTTCAAATTTAATTTATTTCATTTTTTTCGTTCCACCGTCCCGCTCTTGCACCGCCTGCTGCTGGATATTTTTTCCCTTCGGATTCCTGGACTTCGGTTGGTGGCATAATATCGTCTTCTTCTGTAGATACTATTTTGGCATCGTACCTACTTCCTTGCTTGGCTATTTACCGGCTAGACCCTGATCAGGTGGTCGATCAGTTTATGGGTATGTCTATACATCCTCTGGAATCCCCGTTCATTCTCGAGGAAGTCCCTGGTCTTATTGGAGTCTTCATGTGGCCTGGTAGAAGAAGTATCTTATTCTTTTCTCTGGCCACCTCCCTCAGTGGTGGTTGATACTGGAGCCTTTCTTTGATGGTTTGAATTTGTGATTCTTATTCTTCCATGGTGTTCCGGCGATGATCCGGTAACACGATATTTCAGTTGCTTCTAGTCTCCCTCCAGTTGGTCTCTGCTATCGAACTCCAGACTGGGACTGCATATAGTATCACCCGATCTAACGTAGGCCTGGTACAACTGGATGTTCTTGACCTTCGTTAGTGGACTGGTCCTGAAAATATAAGGAAGTATTAGTTTTTAGCTGCATTGGCTTTTACCTTCATTTTTTGTGTATGCAACCGGAAGTTGAGTTTTCTATCGAGGTGGACTCTTAAGTACTGCATCTCCTGCCTGGATTCTGTTTCCTCCTACTGTGATTTTCATGGCTGGTGGGTTCCGCTCTTGTGTGAAAATGATGATCTGCGTCTTCTCTGCATTGATTTTTATCTTCCATTTGTCCCTAAATTGACACAAACCAGCATTAAATATAGTTTCCAGGTCATATTTTATTTCTTCAGTAGATTGATAATAATGGATATATTTCAATAAATAGATTTTGTTCAAAATTTATAATTGAACACTGACATTATGATCACTTTTTGAACCCACGATTTTATCATAACATATTTTTTTTGTAGATCTCACAGAAAAATCAGTTAGTCCTGGTAAACCATGAGAAAAGTAGTAATGGGCAACGTATAGGCACCAAAATATGGCGGTCACATCGAAACTGGGTTCACTCTGGGAAGGTTTATTAAATGAACGTTAGCCGACCTCTCTCTTTCCTTGGCTAAGCTTGCAACTTATTGAATGAAGTGATTTTAGATCCAAATTTGATTCACAATAAAATTACCGAACAAAATTACGATCGTACTAAATAGAAAAAAAACAGTTGTTTGAAAAAAGTCTCAAAGATTAGTCAACTTAAATTTTCTTTTTTGTTACTTAAAAACTAGCTAGTTGAAAATAATTTATTTAGTGTCGTAAATCAATTCATAATAGTTAAATCTGCTAGAAATTGCACTGCTTGCCATAAAATTTAGGGCCATCCCGGAAATTAAAGTTTATTTTAAGATAATTTTAGCATTATTTTTTTCGATTTTAACTAAAGTTTTTATTAACCAATTGTTAAAAAAAAATGTTGTTTTGATAAACGTATGGCAAAAAGGCCCTCCTTCCTGAATTAACTTAAAAACTTTCAGCATAATTTCTCTCCTCTTTTTTTAATGTTTTAAATTTTTGTACATGTAGAGAAAACGTGCAATGATCATTTAATTGATTTAAAGGACACACAATTAAGACAAGAATTTGAAAAAAATTGGTATGTTTAAAAATTGTAGGTAAAAACCCAAACATTTTCAGAACATTGCTGAATAATTATTTTAGAAAATCTACGTTACTGTTTTATGATGTTAATATTTGGTTTATACCTCACGCGCAATAAAATTTGTGCTATCAATCATTTTTAAATGTACTATAAACTATGTTACAACCGAAAGAAAACTCCAACTACAGGTTCACCAAACGAATAATTAGGATGTTATGTACTATATAAAAAAAAATGGCATTTTTATATAACGAATAGTAAGTATATTATGGCATGTTGCTAATGGAATACATCATTAATATTATTTACAAATATAATTATAACAGATTTTTCCACATGGATATTTCGATAGGAGGTCCGGAGAAAACTATTTTAGAAGAGGAAGTAAAACAGCTGCAACACCAGTTAAATAAAGTATTAAAAGAAAACGAAGATTTAAAGATGGCAGTTAGCTTGTACAGAAGACCAAAATGATGTACTACAAGATAATCTCGAGAAATATAAAACTCAAATTACAGAGGTACTCACTTCCATCACTACGGTCGTTTTCACATCAATGTAGAGTAATAAATTATAATTTAGTATGTAAGGCGTATTTGAATGCGTCAAATATTTAAAGATAATAACAGTCAAACCTCGATTATCCGCCAGAGCACCCGACCAAAGATATGACGGATATCGAAAAGACGGTTAAGAAAACATTAAAAAAAATAACTCTCAAATTTTATTTGCATGTTTTATTTGACAATATAAGAAGGATTTATATGTTAGTACAGTCAAATCAATTTGATTTAAAATATTCCGAAATCTTTGTTTGTTGTATTGTTAATTCACCAATTTGCAACGGCTGACATTTCTTAATCGACGTGAAATCATCAAAATCTACCTTATTATGATTCTTATTGCCAAGAATACACACTCGTTGAATTGATGTATGAGCGATGCAGCTTTAGCTTCTATACGCAAATACTTGTGAGTTGCAATAGCACAATCAACATAGCGATCAAAGTCTGTGTCACCTCATCAGTTTCGTCCGCCTCTGTTGACATTTCAACGATTTCATCATATGTCAGTAATCTATAGCATTTGCGCCCTCATCACCAATTAACCATTCGTTTATGCTATTTTTTAGCTAACGAAAACAAAACAGTTGATAACTTCATAACCCCATGATAAGCCATTAACTTCAAATTTGGTACTACATCAAGCTCGGCTGTCACGGGGGCATTTTCATCTTGAGGTTGATTCAGGCCGAATTTTATTACACTCTTTTTCAGCCTTACTTCCGAAACATCAGCCCAAGCATTGACAGCATTGTCGATTGCGTGTTTTTAAATTGTTATATTTAGAAAAGAATATTCCTCTTCCATAACTAGGTTTTAAATATTTTTTTTTCTGTATCTTCTTTTGAATGTTTCAATGACCGATTGATCCATTGGCCGTATCAATGATGTTTTATTCGCAGGCAGAAAAGAGCACGTGATATTTCCATCGTCACTTCGCGGCATACCGGCTTCAGGATGGGCAGGTGCATTGTCCAAAATGCACCTGCACCTGAGAGTATTTCCTGGAACATCCATGCATTATGTTGTGCGTAGTAGTTAATGGAAAGCCCGTTCATATTTATGCTCTTAAAAGAACGTGGTTTTTTGCTGTACCAATCAATAATAAAGGAAGGCGATGGTCACCACTAGCTTTTGCGTTTTAAATTGGGGTGAATATTTTTCCAATAAAACTATTCAACCGATTTGCGATTTTTGAACTTTTCCAACCAACCGCTGCTTCCTTTAGGAATAAAGGATCGTCATTTAATTTCAGTCAAAAAACAACGCTTTTTCGACAACAATTGGTCCAGACAAAGGAACACCTTCGCTTCTTTTTTGAACGAACCACAAATACAGAGCCGTGCCGAGTGATTCATTTGTGGCTTTTTTCATTGTATTGCGATGTTTCACCCGGCCATTCAACGATTCCATTTGCGAAGCATATTTTTCAATTCCTTCATCATTTCTATTTACATCATTGATTGTTTTTCTCGGAACATCATATTTTTTGCTCAATGCGACAGCAGAAACACCTTTCTTTAGTTTTGCAATAATTTCTCTTTTTTCAATTGACAAAACATCACGTTTTCTTTTTGATGCTTTAGATGTGGAAGGCTCCATTTTTCAAAATTAATTGATCAAACGACTAAGTGACACAATCAATGTTCGAATTTTAATCAAACTGAATTATAGTGACACACAGATATTAACTATAATAATAATAAGTGCTGTGCGTTTTTGTTTTCACTTTGCGATTCTAAAAATAATACTCTAAAAGCATATCATTAATCATTACCTATTTAAATTGAAATTTAATCCAGAGCCCTGAATAAGAACAAAAATTATATACATAAAAAAATGCGGTGGTGGCAAACTGCACGTGTAAATTTCAACGCATTTCGTTGGCTTATCGCAATGCTCATTGTTGGCAATGTTGTGCAATGGTAGAAGATGAAAATGAAATCACAAGTAGAGAAAACATACTGACACGAATAGAAGAATTTTACACAGAACTTTACAGATCACATCAACAAGATGATGAGATGAGACCAGCACGGAAATTAATAAAAAATGTTGGATCAGAAATAATGCCAAAAGTAACAATTTCAGAGGTAACTACAGCATTGGAAAACATGAATGAGAAATAAAGCTGCAGGAGAAGATAGTATTACCACAGATATGATATTAGAAGGAGGTAAGGAACTAATTGCAATTGTAACTAAACTTGTGGACAGTTGTTTACATCAGGGCAAAGTCCCTAAGAGCTGGAACAACTCTAAAGTAATCTTATTACACAAGAAAGGTGATAGTCGAAAATTGGAAAACTACAGACCCATCAGCCTACTGTCACACCTGTTTTAAAATACTCACCAAAGTCATAACATACTCGACTAACAAGGAAATTAAGACGAATACCAACCATATGAACAAGCAGGTTTTAGAAAAGGCTACTCAACTTCCGATCACTTGTTAACCACAAAAATATTAATAGAAAAATGTAACGAATACAAGTTTCCAGTTTGTCCTAGCATTTGTAGACTACGAAAAAGCTTTCGATACCATAGAACACACGGCCGTAATAAACGCCAATCCAAAATTGTAGAATAGACAGCAGATATTTACTTAATAAAGAAACTATGAACCAAGCTACAGCTACATACTACCTAAATGAAAATGTACGAACCCTGTACCATTAAACAGGGGAGTCAAACAGGGAGATACGTTATCACCCAAACTGTTCACCTTAGTTTTGGAGGACGTTTTTTAAAAACCTAAATTGGAAATATAAGGGAATAAACATCAATGGCCGCTACTCAGTAATCTACGATTTGCAGATGACAATCCTGATAGCTACTGACCTACAAGAAATGCAAACCATGCTTTTAGAACTACATACCGAATCTTCTAAAATAGGACTGAAAATGAATTTAACAAAAACAAAAGTCATGCACTCCGAAGACACCGTGACAATCATAAACGATAAAGTTATAGAAAAAGTTGAAGAATATATATACTTAGGACAAAAAAATATCCTAAATAGGGAAATTCAAACTGAAGAAATAAAAAGAAGAAGAAAGTTAGCTTGGGCAGCATTCGGTAAACTGAACTATACTCAGAAATCAACAAATTCAATTACATCTTAGATCTAAAGTTTTTGAATGTATGCATTATTCCGATATTAACTTATGCGGCACAAACATGGACAATCACAAAAAAGAATATGAATATACTTAGAGTCACTCAACTTGCGATGGAAAGAGCAATGCTAGGTATATCACTTAAGGACAAGAAAACAAACACATGGATAAGACAGAAAACCAAAGTCACTGATGTGGTGCAAAAATCATTAAAGTTGAAATGGGAATACGCTGGACATGTAGCTAGGAGCAATCTAAACAAATGGCACAGATCAATTTTAAAATGGAGACCATACCAACACAAAAGACCCAGAGACATACCTCCTATGAGATGGACAGATGATCTGAAAAGGACTGCCGGGAAAAATTGGCTACAAGTAGCATACAATAAAAAACAATGGAAAGGAAGACTTGAAGAGGCTTATGTTCAGATGTGAACGTTGAATGGCTAGACGAAAGAAGAAGAAGAAGATCGCAATGCTCAAACAAAATAAATTGATGACTAAATTTTTACTTATGTAGTCAATATAACTTATATATGGACCCTGATGGTTAACAGAGGTGAGGGTTAATAGAACGACGGATAATCGAGGTTCCACTATATTTAAAGTTTGTCAGATGAAACCATTTAAATTTTGAAAATTATTTTTCTCGAACAGATTGGCTGTTATCAAGAAAACAGTTATTTACTACCACTACTGTGGACGATTTGCGGTAAATTGTTACTCTACAGCGATATAGAAAACAACTATATACTTAAAAATAGTAACTGATTTATTTATAAATAACTTAACGGCAATTTGATAATTCTTAATGTGACTTAACTTATTTTTTTATTAGCGAACAACAAATAAATCATTTTCAAGAAAATAAAAATTGTGTCGATGACCTTAAAGAAGAAATCAATGTTGAAAAGAAAAGAATTGAAGAATTAAATAAAAAGTTGCTCTTCTATGAGAAAGATAACAATCATTTGAATGTATATGTCCAGAGATTAGAAAAAGAGGTAAATTTCCTTTATAATCTGTTTACAATATTTTAAAATTTTGGTCCATTTGGTATAATCTATGTTTACTTTAGAATTCCGAGTTGGAAGAACGTTGTACAAATTACGCCAAAAACGAACAAAACATGAGAAAAGATCACCTCGATCTTAGAGCTCACCTTGACTTGAAAGAACACGAAATTACCTCACTAACCAAAGAAACGATGAATTAAGATCGCAGTTGAATGATAAAATGTCTGAAGTTGAGAAGTTGGTGAAAGAACATGAGGTGAGTTTATTTTTTAAGAGTGATCTGTAGTTTGTAGATCTTTTTATTTCTCTTCAATGACTGTACGGTAACTACGTGACCCAACAATAAAATAATAAACTCTTTGGATCAAAAACTAATATTGTTCAGAATAATATCATCATCATCCTTTGGCACTAGGACCTTGGGTGGGTTTTGGCCTGTTTATGAATTAGTCTCCATTCCCCCCTATCTTTCGCCCTGGAATTCCTCAAGTCATCTTCGACTTAAGCTTTAAATCTAGATCTTGGCCTGCCTCTCTTCCTGTTCCTACTGGCTCTTGGTAGAATAATCTGTCTCTGGAGGTCTCCAGTGTCCATTCTTTCAAGGTGTCCTAGCCACCTTAGCCTGTTAATTTTAATAGGCCGAACGATGGTTGCATTTTTATAGCATTGATACAACTCAAAACTGTAGCGCCTGCGCCATATCCCCGCTTTCTTGTACTCCTCCGTATATGTGCCTAAGTATTCTTCTTTCAAAGCGGCCTAACAGTTTCTTCGTCGCTTTTTCCCATAGTCCATGTCTCTGACACGTAATGTCAGGACAGGTTTAATAACAGTTTTATATAAGTGTATATAGTATATAGTGTATATAGTGTATTTTTATGTATGAGAGAGTAATAAAACAATAAATTATGTATGCAAATCCCTAAACTGTTGATACGGGTGACTCAATGAAAAACAGATATTTGTCAACAAGTTTACAGAAGTATATAGGAAAACAATTTTAAATTGAGTATGACCACCAGGTATAAAGGTTGGAGCAGAATAGAATACAATAGTTGTGAGGGTTACTAATCCCTAAATAAGGTTGCCAGTGTCGGAGTGATGGAGGTTAACAGGTACTAATGAATTTGCAAGAAATGTAAGATGTTTATTTTATTGGTTATATATAACCAATAAAAGTTTAATAAGTACCTACCTATTTGCAAAATAAAGTTTAATTCTTTAGATAAAATAAAACGTTTTATTTTATCTGAAATGAGTGCATTCCACGAAGTAAGGGTTTCAACAATCAAACATTTAATTCTTTAATTCCAGGAATCTACGACAGTAATTGACTAGATAATTACCTTCTAAACTTATTCCACAGAAAATGTGATAGTGGGTTTTTCCATTTTGTAGGAAGGTCCAAGTGGCGTATTCAAAATTCTTAACAGTTCACTAAAAGTAGGTACTTCAGTTGCAAGGTGCAGTTTATTGTGTATACTAGTGTTATGGAAAATTTGGAAGTGCCGTGTAAACGCCGAAAAATTGGTCCTTTAACAGTTAATGAAAAAACATTAATATTTAATTGTTTTAAATCATTTACAGACAAACGTTTATGTGAAAGTGTTGATGAGACCGTTGAGTTAGTTAGCAGTACACTTGGTGTTGGGAAATCTACGATTTACAGAGTTATTAAAGAAGAGAAATGTGGTAGTTTTCAAATGCCACGTAATGCTCCAGGGAAACCAAAATTTCAAATAGAATATCATTTTAAAGAAGGACTTCGACGGAAAGTGCATGAATTCTTCTTTAGACAAGAATTTCCAACATTGGATAAAGTTCTTGTCTCAGTTCGAGATGATAAGGATTACCCAGAAATGAGTCGAAGTACGTTATGGAAACTTTTAAAAGAAATAGGCTTCCGCTGGAAAAAGAATCCCAGAAAGTCTATTTTATTAGAAAGAAGCGATATTGTCATATGGAGAAGACATTTTCTAAGAACCATAAAGGAAATGAGAAACCAAAAAGAAAAATATTTTATCTTGATGAAACATGGATCAACGAGGGTCATACACCAAATAAATTTTGGCAGGATGAAACTGTTACAAGTCAAAGGCACGCTTTTGTAAATAACTTATCTACTGGTTTAAACCCACCATCAGGAAAGGGACGCAGGCTGATAATAGTACACATTGGCAGTTCAGACGGTTTTGTTGAAGGTGGTTTATTAACTTTTGAATCAACTCGTACCGGTGACTACCATGAAGACATGAACGCTGATGTCTTTCAAGAATGGTTCGAACAAATGATAGATCTTCTTCCTAAGAACTGTGTAATAGTAATGGATAATGCAAGTTATCACTCCAGACTTATAGAAGGACTGCCCACAACCAAGTGGTTAAAAAAAGACTTGCAGAATTGGCTGAGTTCAAAAAATATTACGTACCATCCCGGATCTATAAGAAAGGAACTTTATTCGTTGTGTGCCCTTCATAAAGAAAAATTTTAAAAATACGAAATTGATGAAATTGCCAAAAATCGTGGAATGACAGTACTTAGATCCCCACCATATCATTGTGAATTAAACCCGATTGAACTGGTATGGGCACAGATAAAGAGTGAAGTTTCAAGAAAAAATACCACTTTTAAAATTCATGATGTTAAACAGTTGTTTTTGGAGGCCGTAAATAATGTAAAACCTGAAAACTGGGAAAAGGCAGTAAATCACACTATTAAAGAAGAGGAAAAAATGTGGAAAGCTGGACAATATTACTGATAAAATGATCGAGCCAGTTATTATAAATCTTGGTTCTGAAAGTTCATCTTCTGAATCTGATTTGGATTTGTAACAAGTAGCTGTAAGTTTTATATTAATATTTTTATTCATCTATTTAACATACCTTAGACGGTTTTAAAAACTCTTTTTCTCTTTTGTAATTTTTAAAAATTAAAAAAAAATGTGAATTTTTTTAAAACCCTTTTTAATGTAGGCCAGTCAGTTCTAATATAGTGTGTGATAAAAGAGGTCACTTTTGTTTACATATACATAACACTTTATAACACTGAAATAATTCATTTATTTTTTTACAATTATTCAAAGTAATTTTTCAATTAATCTTGAGCACGCCCATGGAGTGGTCGGAGGTACCAGTTAAAATTATGCTAATTACTCTCTCGTTCATAAAAATAAACTATAGTATCTTGGTTTTTTTCCGCTAATTATGTGTGATATTAAGAACTGCTTTAGTTCAAAGTAAGTTCTGTTCGCCAGGTATATATTCTTCTCTTAATTTCTACGCTTACTAGGTTGCTGTTATTTAGTTGTGTTCCAAGATATATAACCCGACAGCCCTTCAAATGTGTGTGCTTCTGTCACCAGATCTTGTGGTGCCGCCATTTGTGGGCTGTTCGTGACCTTCATGTATTTTATTTTGGATACGTTGACCTGCAATGCCATTGTCTTCGCGGCTTTTTCTAATGATTCAAAAGCCTGTATCACGTCTCTTTTTGTCCGTGTTACATGTCAATGTCATCTGCGTAGACCAATATCTGTACACTTCGACGTACCTCTCTATCGTACCTCTGGTTGTTATGCCCCGATTTCTCTATGGCTCTTTCTAGCGCGGTGTTAAACAATAGACACGATAGACTGTCTCCCTGGCGTAATCCAGTATGTGTTTGAAAAGACCTTTACACTTTGTTTTGTACCTTGACTTTGCATTTAACTTTCCAAAGAGTTGCCTTTACCAATGTTAGATGCGACGGAATATCTAGTTTTGTCGCATGTCAGGTCCAGTGGCTTTTCCCACTCTTCATTGTTTTTAATGCATGTAATATTTCTTCTTTTGTAATATATGGACCTATTTCTTCTGACGTAAAATTATGTCAATTTTTCAGAATGGTGTGTCCTAATAGACTACCGTCGTACATCGGAGTGTTAAGCACGTAGTTAACGAACAATCAATCCTTGTATTATAATATAAATCCAAGTATGATAAAGGCTATAGCGGGTATAAGATGGTCAAAATTGCACCATGCTCGATTCAGTTTTGGGCCTGGCCATTCGAAAGGACATAATTAAAAACTCACTCAGTTAAATTTTCAAGTCCTTAGGTGCCTCTGGGGGTTCGCTATGGGAAAAAAACGTATTTAAAGAAAAAAAAATTTTTTAGACGCTGTATTGCTGCAAAAATCTGAAAAAATTCATGAAAGCGTAGTTTAATAATACAATACTACCTGATTTTTTTCAGATTTTTAGCTTGAAAATTGAGCCAAGGAAAAATATTTGAAATTTTCAGTAATATTTTAGGTTATGTCGGAAATTTTTGGCCAACTTTAAAACAATGTTTTTTTATGGGTTTTTTCCCGTTCTTTCGAATGGCATAGGTATTATTATCATTTTCAACGTGGAAAATGTCTAAAAATCGAAAAAACTGCTTTTTTTGGCATTTTTCTGAAGCACCCCCACCCCTTAACAATAAATTGTATGGGCCCAGGAACAAAACAAAAACAAATAAGTATTACATAGAAAACAAAAAATTTATTTATACTGCCATAAGATACAATAATGTCAGTTTTTATAAAATAAAAAAAATATTAATAAAATAAACATAAATTAGGTTTTTTAGTGAGATGGATGACTCATAACCTTAACAACATACACCTAAATTAATGTTAATTCATATTTTTATATGTATTCTTACCTTTACAATCGAAATAAGCTATTAAAACTATTATTTTTTTCCTGCAGCATGCTAAAAAAACGAAAAAACCCCGTTTTTTTGGCGTTGTTTTTAAGCTTTCGCTATATAATCTCTAAATTCAGTGTCTAAATGAATGGTAATTTACATTTTCACATGTATCTTTCCCTTTACAATCAAAATCAGCTATTCAAAGCATTAGTTTTTATCTCACAACATTCTGAAAAACCAAAAAACCCCAATTTCTCCATGTTTTTACTACATAACCTCAAAAGACTCTGAAAAATGAAATCGTGAACTAGAACGCACTTGTACACTCAAAAGTTGTAGAATTATAAGCTAGCGAATATATCTACATATATACGTGATATTTATATCACAATGTACATGCATTTATACACAAATGCATATCTATATAGTTCCATGACTTTTGAGATCCTTGTTATATACATTCATAAGCTCCTACCATGCTCGTCCATGCCTTACTCTTCCGCTTAGATACAAGAGCCTTATACCCATGTTGATATTATTTTTATTTTATTTTATATTTTATATGTACTTAACTGTTTTGGCCTTTATGTCTTAGCCCGACATCCCGCATATCCAGAGAGCCTGATTGTAACAGAAAACATGGCGTTGATAGTTGCGCCGCACGGTACAGTGATATAGGCAGGGCAACTATCAACGCCATGTATATATGATATAATCAGGCTCGCATTATATATTGCTCTTAGTGCGTTTGCGTGTGTAGGCCATATCCTCTGTATCGCTCTTAGTCAGTTTGCGTGTGAGGGCCTTTATCATTTCGGCGGGGCTTTTTCCTCAAATGTTCAATAGCTCTCTGTTTTTGTGTTTATTTTGAATGATTTTGAATTTGACAGCAGAATTGTGTCGTGTCTAAAATAACAGCCAAAAATAACCAGTATTATTGTTTTATATTGTGAAGCAACAAATTCTTCTTTTTACTATAACGTCGACCCTATGCATTGTGGTTATTTATTGGTCGGTAATTTGGTTTATTTAATAAAATTACCACAATGCATAGGGTCGACATAATAAAAAAAAAAAGTTGCTTCACAATATAAAACAATAATACTGGTTATTCTTGGCCTGTTATTTTAGACACGACACAATTCTAAGACTCGACTAAGAGCGATATAGAGGATATGGCCCTACACACGCAAACGCACTAAGAGCAACATATAATGCGAGCCTGATTATATAATATATACATGGCGTTGGTAGTTATCGCCGCCTAATATCAACTACCGTGTGGCGCAACTAATCAACGCTATGTTTTCTGTTACAATCAGGCTCCCTGGATATGCGGGATGTCGGGCTAAGACATGAAGGCCAAAACAGTTAAGTACATATAAAATATAAAATAAAATAATAATATAAGCATGGGTATAAGGCTCTTGTATCTAAGCGGAAGAGTAAGACATGGACGAGCATGGTACGAGCTTATGAATTTATATAACAAGGATCTCAAAAGTCATGGAACTATATAGATATGCGTTTGTGTATAAATGCATGTACATTGTGATATAATATCACGTATATATGTAGATATATTCGCTAGCTTTTAATTCCACAACTTTTGAGTGTACAAGTGCGTTCTAATTCACGATTCATTTTTCAGAGTCTTTTGAGGTTATGTAGTAAAAACATGGAGAAAACGGGGTTTTTCGGTTTTTCAGAAAGTTTGTGAGATAAAACTAATGCTTTGAATAACTGATTTTTATTGTAAAGGGAAAGATACATGTGAAAATGTAAATTACCATTCATTTAGACACTGACTTTAGAGGTTATATAGCGAAAGCTTAAAAACAACGCCGAAAAAACGGGGTTTTTCGTTTTTTTTAGCATGCTGTAGGAAAAAAATAATAGTTTTAATAGCTTGTTTCGATTGTAAAGGTAAGAATACATATAAAAATATGAATTATCATTAATTTAGATGTATGTTGTTAAGGTTATGAGTCATCCATCTCACTAAAAATCCTAATTTATGTTTATTTTATTAATATTTATTTTATTTTATAAAAACTGATATTATTGTATCTTATGGCAGTATAAATAATTTTTTTGTGTTCTATGTAATACTTATTTTTTTTGTTTTGTTCCTAGGCCCATACAATTTATTGTTAAGGGGTGGGGGTGCTTCAGAAAAATGCCAAAAAAAGCAGTTTTTTTCGATTTTTAGGCATTTTCCACGTTGAAAATGATAATAATACCTATGCCATTCGAAAGAACGGGAAAAAACCCATAAAAAAACATTGTTTTAAAGTTGGCCAAAAATTTCCGACATAACCTAAAATATTACTGAAAATTTCAAATATTTTTCCTTGGCTCAATTTTCAAGCTAAAAATCTGAAAAAAATCAGGTAGTATTGTATTATTAAACTACGCTTTCATGAATTTTTTCAGATTTTATGCAGCAATACAGCGTATAAAAAAATTTTTTTTTCTTTAAATACGTTTTTTTCCCATAGCGAACCCCCAGAGGCACCTAAGGACTTGAAAATTTAACTGAGTGAGTTTTTAATTATGTCCTTTCGAATGGCCAGGCCCAAAACTAAATCGAGCATAGTGCAATTTTGACCATCTTATCCCGCTATAGCCTTTGTACAGATATTTGTAAACATAAGAATATAGAAAGATGCTCTCTGTTTCAGTTACTGGATTCCAAACAGCAGGGCCTGGAAAAAATGCTCTCCAAACGCTATTCCCTTTCTTCAGACTACAACACATGTCTGGATGAAATGAGCTTCCTAATGCGAGGTAGTACAATCCCTATATACTCGTCTCCTTTAAAAAATAAATCCTTCTCAAATAGTCCTTCCCTTCGAAAAACAGTCCTATCCCCCAATCCGAACATGTTGCAACAAGTGCTTGGAAGCACGCCGAAACAATGCAACGGTTTGGGCATGAGGAAGGCTTTTTCTCTTAATACCATGTCCACTCGGTCTTTACCTAATATCTTTTGTTTTGAACGTTCAACTGTAGTTCAAGATCAAGTGAGCGACATCGAACAGGATTCACAATCAACGTCTATTGGTGCTGTTACTTACGAATCTTTGCAGACTGAATTGTTTCAGGTGAGTAAATGCATATTTTTTATAGTTATAATTGTTTCTTGAATATAACAAGACTGTGTTGAGCACTAGTTTATTTAGTCTTTATAAAATACTATTTTTGTTTCACTAATCACAAGACTTGGTCGATACAGGGTGTTTCAAATAAAGGTAACCCCGTCTCTAGGGTAGGTAAAAAACTGAAATATAATTGGGGTTTACTTAGTAAAAAATTTTATGTAACGCCATCCGTTTTCAAGATACAGGGCGTTGAAGAAAAAAAAATTTACGCATTTTTTTACGATTTTGTCGAAACTACTGGCAACATTGTAATGAAATTTTACACGAATATGTTTTGGAAGCTGATACATCCCATGAATTTGTTTTTATATCTGATTCTCATAGAGGGCGCTAGTTACACGGATCGTACTAAGTATTAGTCAATATAACTTTTTTAAGAGTATAATTATTAATCAAAATTTCAAGTAAACTTAAACATCATTCAATTTTACACGAAAAAGGTACTCTTGGTAAAACTCGATACTGTGTACCGTTTTCGGAATATTTTGATTTGAAAATTATGAAGTAATAATTGATGCTGCTATAAAATAGTTAGTAACTAAACAAAACTCACAAGAAGAAAATTAAATTAATGACTAAGAACATAAAATAAAATTCAATTACAGTAAGTGCTCAAAATGCCCTCCGTTTTCGCGAATACACAAGTATATTCTTTTTTTCTAAAGATTCCATTAACCTTCTAAACGGTAGGGGATCAGCTATGATGTCATTAAATTAACGTTGAATTCTTTCTTCGAATTCTTGGCGTGAATTTACCTCTGTAGTATAGACTTTTTCCTTAATATACGACCAAACTGCGTAGTCCAAAGGGTTAAAATCGCATGACCGAGGAGGCCAATGAATCGGAGCTTCTGCACCTCTACCAATCCATCGATTCGGAAAATGATTACTCAACCAATTACGATACCTTCTATCAAAGTTTGTGGAGCTCCATCGTGCATAAAAAATAAAGATCTTCGCTTGTTTAGCGTTAAATCTTCTAATATCTCGAGTAAGGAATTGTTTAAAAAATCAAGATTTTAGAATACTAATGTATTGTGCTAATACTAATGGAATCTGTACTTATGTGATGTAAGTAAGTTGGTTGTAAACCCCGACCTAGGAATTGTATCGCAAAGATAAGTACTGTGTTCCCAATTCAGCATAGGCACACTGAAGATAATAACTTTTGAATTAACATATTGAGTGAATCAGTTCATCATTCACCAGTGTGAAATTCTCAAAACTTAAGTAATTCATTTATTTCTGTAACAGTGAGATTCTAAAACTATTAAAATATTTTTATGTATCTTATCACTTTGATATATATCCCACGAAAATATCGCATATTTTTCTCCATAATTTTTTCACTCTTAGCTTTTTCTGCAAATCTCGGACTGCTGTCAAAAAAATGACAACGTCGCAGTATATCTAACTAGTTCATCAATCAAATATCAACAAACACATTTTAAGTTTTCAACCTGTCTGATCTATTATCGCTTTGTGTCCTTTGTTCCCAAAAAGGTTTTATTTGTGAAAAGATCAACTCTTGGTCAGTCTCGCATAGCTATTAAGTAAATGCAAAACAGATGTTACAGCTTAGGGAAGGTTTCAAACTTTCAGGTAGGGTCAATGGCTTACTGTGTTATATGACACAATTGTGTTGACACTGTGTGTTGATACAATAAACTGCGTCAGTGTTGCTGTATCAACACCCAAAAATTTAGTGTGTTACACATCGTTAATTCAATGTATGGTAGGTAGCTAAAATTACCATATTTTAGTTACATGACAATATTAGTCCAAATCCAAATACAAATACATCACTATAATACTCAGACCAATATAAAAATTTCCATTATGATCTGAGATAAACCAATGAAACATTAAGACGATGATATAAATAGTTTACTTTTCGATTACGTCTTCCTTTTTTTCCAGTAATTCTCGCATTTCTTCTCAATTCTGTTATCAAGTCGCAAATAGACCAAGATCCGTATTTTTCTGTCATAATTTAATAAATCGCAATAATTACAACAAAAATACCATACAAACCCTAAGAATTGTCAAAATATGTTGACGTTGACCTCCAACTACACTAGCGCCGCCAAGTGGGAGCAACGGCGTACATAGCTGCCATTATACTTCCTCTAAATAAACTGAGTTTGCCGCAACAGCAAATCGAAAAATCTCGAGGAGTGCTTTGTTTGACTATTCCAAAGCATTCGATACCGTAAAATGTAATAAAATGTGGCATACACTTAGTGAAATGAGTACTCCAGAACATCTAATCTATTTATTACAAAACTATAGGTAAATAATACCTGCTAATGTAAGAGTTAATAATGTGATTTCGAAAAACATCAAATTAAAATCTGGAGTTCGACAGGGATGCATAATATGCCCTATTCTGTTCAATGTATATAATGAACATATGCGTCAAGTTGTTGAGGAAAGTGGCAAGGTAAGGTGAAGCAACGATAGGAGGAAGAAAAATTAAAAACCTGCGTTATGCTGATGACACTGTTATATTGGCGTCATCACCAGAAGAACTGGAACAAATTATGAATAGGCTAGGCACGGTCAGTACGGAATATAGTTTGAAAATAAATATGCAGAAAAGCAAAGTGATGATCATCGATAGAATCAGAAACAACCAAGCAGAGATAAAAAACATGGCAGGTTACGAAGTAGTCAGGCAATTTAACTACTTAGGCTTCTTTATTACTAACAGTGGAGGATGCGAAGACGAGATCCGTCGACGCATCACAATGGCCAGATCGGCAACAGCTAAACTCACAAAAATTTGGAAGAACACTGGCATCACAAAAAATGCAAAATGACGCCTTGTTCGAGCATTGATATTTCCTATCGCCACCTATGCTTCAGAAACTTGGACAATAACAAAAGCCGATTCAAAGCGTATAATGGCCTTTGAAATGTGGGTCTATCGTAGAATGTTGCGCATACCATGGACCGCTTATCGCACAAATAACTCAATTATAGCAGAACTTAACATAAAATTAGACTCATCACAACTATCAACCCAAATATACTGAGATATTTTGGACATATAACTAGAAGAAAAGAAGGCATGGAGCAAATGATAGTTGAAGGTAACGTAGCGGGTAAAAATCAGAGGAAGATCTCCAGTACGATGGTCGGACCAAATAAAAGAGATGACTGGTTATTCATTCTCCGAAGCAAAACAACACGCACAGGAAAGAGATAATTGGACGAAAATATTTTAAAAAATTACATGACACCACTATATCCTTACGACGGAGAAAAGATTGAGGAGGATTCTTACCTCACAAATTCACGAACAACAAATAATACCTATCGCACAGAATAAATGTTCATACCCAAAAGTCCTTATTTATTCTACAAACAATTAAAATACCAATATTTCCAACTTCTTATGTGACCAATAAACTCAAATTAAAAATGTTTGGAAAGGTTTTTAAAAATCCCGCTCATTCTGACGTCAGACTTAGGTGGTTCATTCTAGGCTAAATATGGTTGTCAAGTTGTTAGGGTAATCTAGGGAAATTTTGGCTACAATTCTAGGGAATTAAAAAAAAACATCTGGCAACCCTGCCGCAAGATTTTAAACCTACCCTCTCCCTATAGCATTCGGCTAACCAACAAATTAATTTGAATGCTATACACAGGGTTTTGCCACAATCAGAGAGTGTTTTGTGTAGACTTGCTCAAAATGATTTCCAAAAAAAGTGCTAATTTGTGTCATTCGGTAAGTAAATTAATTTTTTATATGTTAATAGTTATTGTATGGATTGGTAAACTATAATTATAGTTAATTGGGTCTTCAGCAAATAATTGTATAAAATAATATTCACAATTTGTCTATAAACAAACAGATAGGACCACTTTGAAAAGTAGTATCTACGAAGACACATTGCCAGTTAGGCGACAATTTAGAGGGTGGTCTTTAAGTAATTGTACAAAAAGACACCGTAGCTTCTACACTTTAAAATATTACGATTTAAGCCAAATTTCTTTAATAAAATGTTGATATTAAGAAAGATATAGAGTGTTATCATGGAAATTTAAAACTTTAATTTTCGCTATAATTTTCATGTTTGTGAACATTTATGTATAAAAATTCATAACTGGGTACTATTTAATATCAGGAATTATAATTTGATGCATACTTTAATGTAGCTAATAGAGTAGCGACACATATGCCACTATGTGGCATACATTTGCACTTAACTTCTTCACTCTTTAAGTTACCGGTGTTTATGATAAAACATATTAAAGATGCATTATTTTAATGATGCATACAAAAACAGGTATACTTGTTAATAACTTTAAAACTCTGTTAATACTGTTAATAACTTAATACCAAAATTTAGAACTATTGATGTTTTTGTCTAATTTTCTTTCGTTGCCTGGAGTAATTGTGTTAAATCTGAATTATGTAGTTGATTTGTAAAATTGCGATTGTCTCGAAAACTGTTGAGTTTTAAACTTATTAACAAGTATACCTTTTTTTTTGTTAAAATAATGTATCTTTAATATTTTTTATCACAAACACCGGTAACTTAAAGAGCAAAAAAGTTAAGTGCAAATGTATGCCACATATGTGGCGCCCCTCTATGAGCTATATTAAAGTCTGCAATCCAAATTATAATTTGTGATAGTCAATTGTATCCAGTTATGAATTTTTATAAATAAATTTCTCAAACATGAAAGTTATAGCGAAAATTAAAAGTTTAAATTTCCAGTTTAATACCCTTATCTTTCTTAATATCAATTTTATTTAAAAAAATTGGCTTAAATCGTAATATTTTAAAGTGTAGAATCTACGGTTTCTCTTTAGTACAATTACTTAAGGATCACCCTGTATATATATATATATATAATATATAATATATATATATATATATATATATATATGTGCCATATGTGTGTATTCAAAACACTCTTTTCAATAAACT